TTTTTAACTCAAATTCAGCTTCTTCTACTGTGCCACATTTTCTCCAAAATAGGCTAAAACAATTACGAAAACAACCTGAACAATCCGGTTACAAACAAGCAATTCATGAAGCGACACTGGAGAAGAAATTTCGCAGACTGCGGCATCCAACGTCATCTACAAACGACATACTAGTACACAACTGACGAAGGAGCAAATGCAGGTTCCACAGCACGAAGGCTCATTCAATACAGCTGAAGCTAAACCTGCCAACATTATTGCAGCTGTGGAATCGATCATCAGTCACACAAAAGCAACGGAGGAGACTAGGCCCCTTGTCCAACACCAGAGATCGTCCCTCCTTATGGCTCATTAACCGAGGGAAGTGCTCCCAAAGGTCAAACGCGTTGCATAAGGAGCATTCAAGTCGGACCGGGACATTGTCATTGTGCCCGCCGACAAGGGACGTTCTACGGTCATACTAGACAGGACCGACTACCTTTAAAAGGCAAAAAAACGTACTGGAGGATCGTCAGTTTTATGCTCCTTGTGAAGCATATCCCAGCAAAAGGCTGACTCGTGAAATTAATTCGACCCTGTTGGCACTATATAACTCTGGTGCAATAACGCCGTCCGACCTGCGCATGGCGAGGGCACAAGGTACGTCCTTGCCTCGCTTCTATGGCCTTCCCAAAGTGCACAAGGAGGGTGTTCCTCTCCGGCCCATCGTATCACTGAAATACAATCAAACGTACGGACTGGCCAAATGGCTATTTCGGCGCCTCAAATTCGTGACCTCTGAAGCAGAGGCAACGGTCCGCGCTTCAGCACAATCCTTGGAGAAACTTAAAGGGGTAAGTCTCCTGCCAAGTGATAAAATTGCTTCCTTCTATGTCACGTCCCTTTTTACTTCTATTCCTAAGGATCTGGCAGTCGACACCGTCGACCTACTCCTACGAAGCGAATACAATGAGACGAAGAATCGCCTTGGACGTGCCCAAATCCTACAGCTCCTACAGTTCTGTCTGAAAACGTACTTCACGTTTGACGGAACAATCTACGAGCAGGTAAAATGGACACCAATGGGTTCACCGATTTCTGGATTCATAGCGGACGAGGTCCGACCGGCGCATGGCGAGGGCACAAGGCACGTCCTTGGCTCGCTTCTGTGGCCTTCCCAAAGTGCACAAGGAGGGTGTTCCTCTCCGGCCCATCGTATCACTGAAAAACACTCCAACGTACCGACTGGCCAAATGGCTATTTCGGCGCCTCAAATTCGTGACCTCTGAAGCAGAGACAACGGTCCGCTCTTCAGCACAATCCTTGGTGAAACTTAAAGGGGTAAGTCTCCTGCGAAGTGATAAAATTGCTTCCTTCTATGTCACGTCCCTTTTAACATCTATTCCTCAGGATCTGGCAGTCGACACCGTCGACCTACTCCTACGAAGCAAATACAATGAGACGAAGAATCGCCTTGGACGTGCCCAAATCCTACAGCTCCTACAGTTCTGTCTAAAAACGTACTTCACGTTTGACGGAACAATCTACGAGCAGGTAAAGTGGATTCCAATGGGTTCACCGATTTCTGGATTCATAGCGGAGGAGGTCCTACAAGGGGTGGACTCACTGGTTTAAAAACGCCACAGACCAAAATTCTGGGCGTGGTATGTGGATGACAACTTTTTCGTCAACGAACGGGATCAGGTGCTCACGTTCAAGGAATGTCTCAACAGCGTCTTCCCGGACGTCCAATTTACCATGGAGGAGGAAGGGAACAACTAACTGCCCTTCTTTGATGTCCTCGTCTGTCGCAAAGATTGTGGTGGCCTGAAAACTTAAGCATGCAGGAAAGCGACAAACACGATGCAAATACTGAATAACAACAGCAACCACCCAATCAGCCACGAACGCCGTTGCGTAACGACTATATATCGGCGTGTTGAGACGCAATGCTGTGAATCAGAAAAAAAGTTACCGAGGTACAATACCTTTGACGGGTGTTCACAAAAAATGGCTACCTGCGCAACTTTGTCAACCGGTGCTTGCGCAAACGGGATGGCCAACAAAGACGCACCGACCCGAGAATTTTTTGAGCGATTTCGCACGTTAAATACGTATCTGAAGCCGTCAGCCGCCTTCTCGCAGCACTTAGATTTGGAGTCGCACACAGGTCGGAAGCAACCTTAAGGCCTAAGCTCATGAAACCGAAAGACCCACTGCCACGGCAAGAAACATCTGAAGAAGACTACAGGATCTAATGCAGTTACGGATAAAACAACTATGCCGAAGAAACTGGCAGGCATCTCAAGACGCGAATTGCCGAACGCGCGGCAGCAGGGCGGCGAAATGATGCCAATTCAACGAAACCCGGCCACACATTAAAATATGATGACGCCGAAATTCTCGCAAGAGGTGATAATAGAGTGAGTCGAGAATTACCTGAGTCATGGTTCACGGGTCCCCAATTCATGAAAAAGTCAAACGATTTCCCAATCCATATTCCGTGTTGAGACTAAATGCGGCCAAAGCGAATCGCCTATCGGAGAACAGACGGGCCACTACATCATCGTATGCCAACACCGCAAGGCCAGATGGTCATG